AGCGGCCAGAGAGCCGGGGAGCCGCCCCCGCACCCAGGCCTTCTCGCACTGCCTGGTCGCTGGTGAAGCCCGCTGCGCGCGCCTCTCCCGAACCCTGCAGGGTACGGCCCTTCCTTTATTTCTCCCTCCCGTGGGTCTCTGTCTTCTTCCTTCGGCACTGGGGCGGGGCCAGGGCTGAGCCAACGCGCAGCTCCGCGCTTTGGGGAGTCTGGACGCCTGGCAGGGGCCCCCGCTGCTGGCCCCTCCCTGCCCGCTGCCCCGCGCCCCCACTTCACGCTTGCGGGGCCTGCTGGGGCCCCTGAGAACTGCTGACGTGCTTCGGGCTGTTTCTACGCTACAGTCTGCCTACAGGCTGTGAGGCGTCCGGAAGTGTGCGCGGCTCAGGGTTGTTTACACCAGGGGGGACTGCGGGTCGCCCACACCCGCGCTCTGTGCTGCCCCGGCAGCCACGCGTCGGCCACACGCCCGCCTGTGCTTGTGATTCCTGTGCCTCCTCCCTTGATTTCCCTCTGACATCCGATGGTTTTTGCCTAACCAGGCCTATGTTTTCTTTCTTCAGGACTGCTACAAGGTGCCCAGCTACAACCTTGTTTCGATGTTTAGGTTTAGGGGTGCCTCTAGAGTGTGATGATGACCATCTGCTTGGCCTCCTTGTCAACATATTTATAACGGGTGTTTTTGGATTTCCTTGATTTCCCAGTGATCATTGCCACAAAGCTTCGAGATGCATTCACAGATTGAAATACAGTATACAAATAACTATTATAGAAGGTGAAGATGGTATAAGCTTGTAGTCAGGTAATTGCGTCGGCCTGATGCCCGGCTGGCTTTATGCTCCGGAGGGCACACTACCACCAGGTGCAGGGATCTCTGTGGACAGGCTCTGTTCGCAGACACAAGCTGCCTTTTCTGCTGCTTGCGTGCACTCCTCGGTTTCTTAAGTTCAGGTATAGGTATATATTTTTTTCTTTCAGGCTCACTTCCTGCCTCCATTATCCTATATCGCATATTGTATCTGTTGGTTGAGTAGAGAGAGATTCATCCAGAGTCATGAACGCTCCAATAGTCCTTTATCAGATTAAGGACTTGGGGGAAATGTGCATTGTGCTCTAGTAGGCACTCTAAAAGTTCCTTGAATTGGATTCTTCTTTCCATACTTGTGTTCTGAGTACTAACTTTGTTTTTAACTTCTGTCCCAAACGTTGGCTTTTCTGAACTCTGCATTTTCAAACTCTTCCCTTCTGTTACTGACTTGAAAATCAGATACATCAGCTCATTGTAAGATGGATAGTTTCTTTACTCACGCAATGATGAAATAATGCAATTATAGTACTCTGCACAATGGTACATATGGTGCTTGCACATATGGTCAGTTAACAAAAACTACCCCTTCTTTCTTTACTGTGTTAGTCTCATCCTCTTAATTTTGCTGTGGTTGACATTCTCGATCTTAACTTCGCGGATCTAACTTCAGCGTCCTTTTAAAAAGGCCTTTATCTACATGAATTATATATAAATATCCACCTCCGTTTTCTTCTGGTATTGTTAATGATCTTATTCATATTTAGTGTGAGATAAGAAGGCTCTAACTTTATAATTTTATTACTGACTGCTTCATCAGTTGTTGAATTCTATTTTTCCCTGCTGATCAGTCCTATAAATACCATAGGCCCTAAATTCTCGTGTATTCTTGGGACTTTCTGAACGGTCGTGCAGTGTTCTTTGGCTCCCTGTGGTAATCCTGGCTTCTGTGATGCTCTTATTGCTCTAGGTTTATAATGTGTTTTAATGTTTAGGGATTGGAACGATGCCTGGCATATTGTAGACATCACTAAATATTTTTGAAATGAACACATTTAGTGGGGGCAAGTTGATTGCCTTTCTTTACCTCTTGCCCCTTTAAAATTTTCCTGCCAGTTATTGAGATTCGTTTATTTTAGCTTGCTTTTTCCATGGTCAGTTGAATCATTAACTGTTAGTAAATAACTCCCTTCTGTTGCTCACTCAGAGCTTGCGATTAGAGTTGCTCCTTACAGTTACATGGAGAAGTAGCCTGATTAAAAATCTGCATGCCTTTTGACTTTGCACTGTATCATAGTAACTGTAGTGTGCCTCTCCCCATCACCTATGATTTAGGATGTTCTGTACCTGGTTTCTAAGAGAAAAAATGGTTATCTGAGAGATAAATGGCTGAAGTGTTCCCTGGGACATCCTCATATCCATTTGTATTTTACCATCCCAACTGGATATCTCAAATATAGTAAATTTTAAGATGTTGTTACTGTGGACACTTAAAACCTTATTAGCTCATGAAATAAATGTATGCATTCTTTAAAAAAGATCAAGCAATACAGAAATCCTCAAAGGTGGAAGTGAAAGTGCTGTGTGCCCACCTACGCAGTAACCTTGTTCCATAAAGATTATCACTGCTTGCAGATTTTAAAAATAATAGATTTAAATCTACTTTTGTTTCATAAATGGCAGTGTACCATGTATAATTTTCTATAGCTTCCACTTAATAATAATGGATGAAAATCCTTCTGTGTCAGTGCATATAATAGTATCTTGTCTTTTTTGTAAGTCTTTTTGGTATTTCATTGTAGGAATAACCCAAAAGTTATTTAGCGAATCCCCTGTTGGCATTTTTCCAAATTTATTACAAACAGAACTGCAAGGATCATTTTTGTGTTTATTCTGTATGTTGTCATATTTGCATGTTAGTTTATTTCCTAAGATATGGAATTGCTAGGTCAGAGGCTACACATAAGTGTTAAATTGTGAGAGATTCTGCCAAAGTACTCCTCAAAAGTTGTTGGTAAGAGTAAATTTAGACAATTTATTAAAATGCTGCTTTTGCCACATCACATTGTGAATAATTGTCAAGGATCTGAGATCATACCCTACTTGCAAGCTAACAGTTTCATGGAAACTGGCAGAAAATATGAGACTCCTGACTGAGAGACAAAACACAACAGTAACGGTAGTCAGAGGATCATCTTATGCTGATTTGCTGGAGCCCTGATTTCCACGGGGTGATGTGACAAGAGCCCAGTGACACTAGCAGGTGAAGTAGGTTGTGTTACAAGAGAGGAATCCTTAGTTTAGGGAACCTGAATCTTTCATAGTGGGCTGCAAATAAACGTGTCTGATCTTTGCCAGAGAGGGAGACATTATCTTTATTTTCCTGCATGGTAAACAAACCTGCCCTCTGTACCAGAGGGAGACATCTCTTTATCTGCCAAGGCTATTTGCTGTGTGAACACCACTGAAAAGATGAAAAATAAAGGCCATCAGTGCCTCTGCTTATATGACATGCAGAAACTTGAGAGGCTTGCTAAGATGAAATGATTATTTTTTTATATTTAGTAATTTTTTGGATGAAAAATACTGTTTTATTGTGTTAGTATTGCATTTCTTTGCTTATTGATGGGGTTGACTATCTGTATGTTTGTTGGTCATTTGTATTCATTTTTACTTGCATGATCATATCCTTTGCTTAGGTTTCTGTTGAAATGTTCCTCTTTTCTAATTGATTTGTAATAGCTCTTTACATATTGTGGCTATTAACGATTTGGTTCACCATATGCTAGTATTTTGTCATAGTCTATTTTTTAGTGTTTCTTGGGGCTTTTGCTGTATAAAGGTCTTTATTATTTATGTTGCCAGTTCTGCTGTTGTTTTCCTTTATGGCCTCTGGGTTTCCACCCCAAGATTATTAAAATGCTCTTTGTACACATTCTGTTATCATAGATTTAGATTTTTAAAAATGGTTGCTATGGCATACTATCACAAATTTATTTTTCCAAATTGCTGGACATTTTCCTAAAACATTTATTTTGGTAAACTATCCTTTCCCTGTTATTTGACTTGACACATTTGTTGTAAGATACTATATCCTTAATTTGTTGTTTTCTCAAAGCCAACAAATCAGTAAGCAAAGTATGTTAGATACTTACTGTGATTATGATTTTGGTTGAATTCAGCCTTAAAGATAATATGTGTAATTGTTCTTAGTGGATTTTATCTTAAAAAATATAAAGTGTCTTTTTTGCCCTGTTTAATGATTTTTGCCTGGGAGTCTACATTGTCTTATATCACTCTTGCCTCTCTGTCAGTTTTGTGTGTACCTAATAGGTCTTTTTTGCCCATATGTTTATTTTCAGTAATTTTACACCATTTTGCTTTACTTGCCTTTCATAAACATCAAACATTCATGTAACTGAGCTGGACTTTTATTTCTCCCTGAAATCTTCCCCCTTTCCAATTTGGAAGTTTGTCTTTTTTTTTTTTTTTTTTTTTTTTGAGATAGAATCTTGCTCTGTCACCCACGCTGGAGTGCAATGGTGTAATTTTGGCTCACTGCAACCTCCATCTTCTGGACTCAAGTGATCCTCCTGCCTCAGCCTCCCAAGTAGCTGGGACTGCAGGTGCACACCACCATTCCTGGCTAATTTTTGTGTTTTTTGTAGAGATGGGGCTTCACCGTGTTGCCCAGGCTGGTCTCAAACTCCTGGGCTCAAGTGATTCATCCGCCTTGGCCTCCCAAAGTGCTGGGGTTGTAGGTGTGAGCCACTGTGCCCGACCTGGAAGTTTGTCCTTTTTTTGTTTTTGGTTTGTTTTACATTTTTTAAAACTTTAAAATAAGATCATTGTAGATTCATATACAGTTCTAAGAAATAATACAGAGAGATGTAGTCCTGTGTGTATTCACCCAGTTTCTACCTGTGGTAACACCTTGCATAACTATAGTACAATATTATACTCAGGAAATTGACATTGATACAACCTTATTCAGATTTCACCAGTTTTACATGCACCCATCCCTGTGCCTGTTTAGTCGTAAGTAATTTTATATAGATTTCCCGTGAACATCACTGCAGTCAAAATATACAAGGGTTCCATCACAAGGTTACCTTGTACAAAATTGCGTTTATCTCTTAATAGGACAATTTAACCTAGTCATATTAACTTTTTTTTCCCCTCTGCTGCAAGTTTGGAAATTCTGAAACCATCTATAAATGACTCTTTTTTTGCCCTCATTCTTCCCATTAATAAGTTGAGACCTGGATCTCTTGCCTTCTTTACATTCTTGGTTTCATTG